GGCATCTATCACAGCAGCAAATTGCTGCTAGTTAATGAATTGCCCTTGTACCCTTTCTTGTGCACCAACCCATGTGACTGCTGTGCGATAAGGGATAGAAGTGGTAGCTTTTTAACTAGTAGCAATTCATCACTACGATCTATGCCCTAGCATGTGCTCTATTGGCCAGAATCCTGCTGGTAACTAACTGATAGGTTTCTAGCCATTATATTAAAGGAGAGATATATGATGATTTCTAAACAACTGATGATATTCTTGGATTATATTTGCTCCCTAGCAATTATGTTTTACCTCAGCCTCAGAAGTTACCTGGATTGAGAATCCAGACAGTGGCAAGCATCATACACAGTCCCCAAAGCGTCGAATTTCACAACACAGGCAGAAACTCAGCTATCCAGTGCTGAATGTTGTGCCATATGGAGAGGATCTTGATTACTATTATAGAGTTGCTTTCTAGCACTCCTTACTGTCAAGAGGATCATCTTCTTTCGTTCTTCCTTTAAAACATTTTGACCCACCTTTCTCCTTGAAAGTACCCAAGGTGGCCCATCTTTGTGCAAAAAATCCTCATTCCTTTCCATCGCCTCTGTTCCTACCTCCTTCCTGTGCCCCAAGCTGGTCCAAAGGCAGAGAAGAGAGGAAGCAAAATCCAGGCGAGCAGGGCAGGAGAGCAAGGAACGAAACCCAAGGGCAGCTGGAGTGTTCAGAGAAAAACAGCTGCTTTTGGGATTCCGTTGCCCACTATCACGCCATCATGGAAGCTGGTCGGTAATCCCTGATGGGGCCTGGCAAAAGAGGCAGGCGGGGCTTCTGGAGAGACCGCGTTGTATGGGGTCAGCCCTACGAATGAATAGGGGAGTTATGGTGCGCACAGAGTCAAGGAGGAAGACCGTTCCCAGAGCAATTGACAGCTCCTGGCTTTCAGAAGTGTTGCAGTCCTATAAAGAGAGAAAGTCCAGCCAGTGTCAATACATCTTTCTCAGATTCTTCAGCAAAAAGATCCTTATTTGGAGTTGCTTTCGACAAAATCTCTTTTGGAAACAGTCGCATAAACTCATTAGCTAGTTAAGTAATTAATACATATCCAACCCAAAGCCCTTCTGCTTTCATGTTGCTCATGCACACTGGCTTGGTATCTTATGCTGAACGGCCAGGTTCTTAGCTGATTATGTCCTCTCAATTTATTCCACTGAAAACACAATCCAAATTAATGCAAATGAACTTTGTTGCCATGGCTAAAGACCATTTGACTAGGCCTGGGGTGTGAAGCTCCCCAAGTGACCTTCACGGAAAGTGACAATTTTTCAATGTAATCCAGTCCACAGAGCTGTTGAATGCTGTACAGAGAAACGACGGATACCCACCTACTCAAAACAAGAAATGAAGAATCTAAATCAGTCGATTAAGGGAGACTCCTTAAGGGAGACTCAAGGACAATTTTTAAAGAATCATGCCAAGGCAAGACTTGGAAACAACCGGTGACTCTGAGGGGTTGCTGTCTTTGTGCTGTGTAGACAGGAATCCATACTCCTGGGGGGGTGGGGTTGAGTGCATGTGTCACAGGTACAGCAATCTCACAAAAGGGCTCTTATATATACATGAGTGGCTGCTGCTGGAAATGTGGGGGGGGGGGTTGAGTGCATGTGTCACGGGTACAGCAGTCTCACAAAAGGCCTCTTATATATACACCCGTTGCTCGTGAGTGGCTGCTGCTGGAAACGCACAGAGAGGGTGAAAGAGAACCAACAGGCCACTCAAGGTGGCGCTTCCGTTTTCAGTGTAGAAACAGAGACAGGCAAGAATCGGTTTCAACATCCCTTGTGCAAACAGCTTGGCTGGCAACTCTGCCAGCAGAACAGCCCCAGAGTTTCTGCATCTCCGTGCCCCGCCCACCCTCGCCGTGCGCACAGCAGCCTCTTTGCCAGTGTCCCCTTTCACTTTTCACTCCCTACACCCCGGCTTCTCCCTCTTAGGGAGGCAGGCCAGGAAAAGTCTCTAGAGGGTGGGGGTGGGGGAGCCTGTCCTCCTTCATCTTCTCCTCAGACTGAATTCTCCACCCCTTATTACTCACCCAGGCTGAACACTCAGCTAGGAGTCCCTTGGCCAGGATCAGATTTCACCTCTTTCATTGTTCTTCCTCTTCTTTTTGCAGAGCAGATGCACACAGGGTGTTATTCACCAAGAAATAAAAGAAGGAGAGAATCCACAGGGGGAAGGAGCTTCTGTACAGGAGAGGGGTGGGTGGCCAAGGGGCCTTCAAGCATGAGGGCCCAGGGGGATTTTTTGACCCACCCAGAGGCAGGAGTCATGCAATACATAAACCATTGGCCTGGATTGGCCCAGGAAATTGGCCCTCTGAGAGGAGAGCCACAACTCAAATCATTAGTGGGTTAGTTTAAATCAACAGGTGAAATTGATACATCCACAGAACTGGTCTTCAAGCTCAACAGAGTCTACAAATGAAAGAATTCCCCCTATTGTCTAACCCTAGAAAGGTGCGGTGGCTCTTCCAGAGTTCACGTTCTGTCTCTCACAACTTCACCCCCTTACAACCCTGAGACCCTCTGTGGAATGGTAAATCCGGATAATCTGACAGCATCCCTGGGCAGGATCTAGACTGCAAACATTCCAGCAGCTTTATTCTCAAAGTCAGCAGAAGGACTCCACACCAGCCTGAGGACTCACCGTTGACTCTAATGTTAGCGAGATGGCCATGTTGAAGAGCTATGATACAATGGTTTTCATTTTATTTCCAAAAGGAGTACATCCATAGTCCCTCTTTAATTTTACAACCTGGCTCAACCCAAAGGAATTACAGTGGGGTCTTGACTTGAGAACTTAATCCGTATTGGAAGGCGGTTCTCAAGTCAAAAAGTTCTCAGGTCAAATCTGCATTTCCCATAGGAATGCATTGAAAACCATTTGATCCGTATCTGCTCTTTTCCGTCCATAGAAACTAATGGGAAGCTGCTATTCCGCCTTCGACCACTAGAGGGAGATATTTTGTTTCTTTTTTTCTTAGGTCAAGAAAGGTTCAGGGAAGGCAGGGAAAATACAGTCCAGGCAGTACAGTACCAGGCAGTCCGAAGACTGTCTCCCAATGCACTCTCTAAACGCTGGGAGGAGTGAGGAAGCAGACAGGCACCCTCTTCACTGGCCAACAGTTAACTGAAAGTTCAATTTTTGCACTTTCCCTGCCTCCCACGTGGTTTTTGTCAGTTCTTAACTCAAATCTAAGTATGTAAGTCAAGTCAATATTTTCCTATGAGAGCGGTTCTTAAGTCAAAATGTTCTTAACTCAAGCCATTCTTAAGTCAAGACCCCACTGTACCCTGTGATAAGTCAACACCATCTGTAGGAGACAGGAAAGTTGCACTTGGGTGAGGGGGGCGGGCGGATAGATGGCAACTCCCATCACCCATGAAGTCAACCAGGCAGCTTACAAAAGGTTACAAGGCAGAGCAAAATATGAAAGGAGTTATTGGAAAAAAAACCTGAAGGAGGAAAACTCTGGCTTTTCAGATGTTTTTGTACTTCAGCTGTTGAAAGCCCCATCTAGCAAGGCCAGTCACAAAGGGGCATGGGATTTGTTATCAGACATCAGGCAGATCAAACATGTGCCTCTCCCCAAAACAAAGATTTAGAATAGACCCAAGCAACTGTGGCCCTCCAGATGCCTACAGCCTTCACCAGGACATAACAACACATAGCCAACAGTGAAGAATTATAAGAACTCCAGTTCAGCAACATCTGGAAGACCAATGTTGTTGACTCTGATGAAGAATAACATGTGCATTCTCAAAAATGCTGGCCAGCCTCGTCTGGGAATGCTTCGTGACAGCTTCTACTCATAGCTTCTACCCTCCATTTTGGTCTAGAGCAGTGATTGTCAACCTTAGTATCCCAGATGTTTTTGGATTACAACTCTCCGAAATCCTGGCCAGCATGGCTAGCGGCGAAGGCTTCTGTGAGTGTTAGTCCAAGAACATCTAGCGACCCAAGACTGGGAACCACTGCTCTAGAGTCATTATCCAACCAACCCCTTCTACCTTTTCCAGGCAGTTGGCAACTCTGCAACGCCTCCTGAAATAGACTGGTGTTTCTTACATAGATAGTTGTGTCTCTTGTAGGCAAAGAGGCTAGCTAGTTCCTTCAAATTTGCATTGGTAAATGCATGGGGTAGATCAGTAATGTAGCAGTTTTTTTTGCCCCAGTCTTCATTTGAGCTGGACAATCTGTGCCACAGCTGGGTGACATTTCTGCTCTTGTGCCCCCATGATTTTAGGAGAGATGTTGCCATGGGGTTAGCTCATGCTACACCCTTTCTCATTTAAGAGGTGCAGCGTATACCTTATCTCTTGTTCCTGCTTCCTGTTGCATCAGAGCTCTGACTTCTGTCAGGCACTGAGGCACCCTATCCGAATGAACATTACAGCCTTGCAGCCCCCCACACAGTTCTCTGGGACTCCCAGTGAAGAGCATGGGACTTGCCTCCGAGAAAACATACTCAGGACTGGACTGTGTGTATCAGGAAAGTCAAAGAACTGGAAAGATAAACCAGTCCTGCCTATTTCACTTAGTATGTGTCCACTGCAGTTCCACTGGTATCCCACAGCGGAAGATGCATCAGCACAAACAGGCATCACTCCCAAAATATACTTCCCTCAGAGGCACAAATATCCAGTTGCAAGACTTCCAATACTCCGGAGGGTATTTAAATTCCAGATTACTCTTTTAAACTTTCCACAAATCAAAAATATGTCAGATGGTCTACATAAAGACTTTAAAAGGAACTCACAAGGGCAAATGTCAACAAAATGAACAAATGAATTTCCACCCCACCCCGGTTTCCTCTTAAAACAACTCAGGCTACTTCTGAACCCCTAGGTGCAATTTCCATACATTTCTGATGACATCCAGCTGTAGCCACTGGGTGGGTTCCTGGCCAGAGTATGGAAAAAATTTATCTTTTTGGACTACAACTTGCAGAACCACCACCCCCCCCCCCAGATTCTGGGAGTTAATAGTCCCCAAAAGGTGAGTTTCCAAGCTCTGATTCAAGCATGTTTGTGCTTACCCTGAAATAAATGACATTGAAATTTGATTTGGGTGGGCAGAGGTGGCATCTTTTCTGTTGAAATCACTTTGGTACGTAACCGTCAAATGTAAAGCAGGGAAGGAATCTGACATGTTTAATATTTTAATATGTTATTTATTTATTGGACTTATGCACCTTTTCCTCCAAAGAAGTCAAGGCTCTATTCCTCTCTTTTTGTCCTCGTAACCATGTTGTGCAGTAGATTGATCTGATTTCACCCAGCAAGTCTCATAGCCAAGAGGAGAGAGACTTCAACCTCAATTTTGTAAGTCCAGTTTGCTACTGTAGCCGTTGCACTGCACTATTATACAAATGTCATCTGCTGAAATTCTTTTTCCCCCCTGCAAATCAGTTAAAGATGCAGGAGCCCTCTCTGCATTTGCAGTGCCAATGATGGTGATTTGTACACCAGCATTATTTATTAAGGGAAGGGGATCCCACCCTCCTATCCTGTCTGCCAGAAAACACGTTCAACAGTGTGTGTCAAGGCATCCATTCTGCATCCTGACTTTGCTGAAAGACAGACAACAAGGAAGAGCACATCAGGACTGAAAGCCTGGCTTGTTCTATAGGGAGAGCACTGAAAACAATGACAAAAAGGCACCCACCTCCTTGTGGAGGCTTTGGCAAATCCTGTGGTGTCTTTCTTGGGAAGCAGAGCAGTCACAACAACAGCAAGCACTCACTGTAGTTGGGTAGCATCCTAGACCGGGATGTGTCAGGGAGCTCCTGAAAGGATCTGTGCTTTTACCAGTTGCCTGGAACGATTCAACAGGCGAAGCCAAATGAACCAAATGAGTACAAGCAGCTTCTCCTGGCCTAGGAATGGAGGACTGGAGAAAGTTCCATCTGTTGATTTTCTCCTGCTCTGCAGCCCTTAAAATCTAAAGAGATTGGATGCATTAAAAAGGTACCTGTACATTTCCAACGACAGTGTTGCAGGGGAGGCAATTCTCTCTCCCCCCCCCCAATGCTTCTGGCTCAAATTGTCTCCAAATGACATTCTAAGAGAGACAGAGACAACAAAGCTTTGATGGATGGAGTGGCTTTTGGAAGAGGCAGAAGTTTACGTTCCTTGGAATTACTCCCTAACCTGCACATTCCCTGTTTTAAGTGATTGATTGAGCATCCAGGTGTTTCAGATTGATTGTGCACCCAGATGTTTCAGATGCATCTGTAGACCCACTGAATAAAATAGATATGTTTCAGAGTTGCACAGAGTTGTTCTGTTAGATATCTTGAACCCCTTGTGTCCCCAGGAAATTTGATATAATGCGGGGGACAGAACAACATTTCTTCCTAGGATTGCAATTTAGATCCTTTTTAAAAATGTTGTTATTCCTATTTCACCAATGATTAACTTACAGAAAGGGTGGCTTGTCCAAGACCACCTGTTCAGTCTGTGGCAGAGCGGAATCTGGACCTCTCCGCTTCCAGTGAAGAGCTGGATCATGCTGCTCTCTCTCACTCGTCTCTTATGCTGGGATCGGGAAAGAGGGGGGGTCTTTTGTGGTAGAGAAAGGAACGGGGTCTGAAAGAGGCGATACCATTAATGGACTGCTTGAGTGACTGGGTCCAAACTTTACAAGGAGGAGCTTTACTGGGCTCAGATTTTGGGGGGAAAGGGGGAAGCTCCACCTGTTGAATTATTACCTATTGCAAGTCCTAAAAGTATGGAGAACACCACAGGAAAGGAAGGGGGCAAGTGGATGGAATGCATTGAAGGGAAAAACAGGGCACACACAGTTACAAAAGAGACGCCCGCTTCCTGCTCTCTTGGTTTCTACAAGAGAGAAGAACACTTGTTCCCTTCCTCTGTGGTTTTCTTCTGACCACACCTTGGCTGCTCGCTGCTCATGGCAGTTTCTTTCTGCCCACCACACATGCGCAAACTGGCCTCCTCGATGTGTCCAGAGCTTGAAAAAGTTTTTTCCCCCTCTCTTGGACTACAGTGACCATGCTAGCTGAGAAATTCTGGCAGGTGTAGCCCGAAAACAAGTTTTCTGAGCTCCTTTGGATGTACTGTGAAGAAATGTACACATCTCTCTCTGCCTGTCTCCCCACACACATTCATACACACCTAATAGCTCCCTCGCAGGGCAGGGTTAGGATGATGCCCCCCTGTTTGTCCTTGGGTCCCTCTCCCACCCAGAGGCCCACCCACCACCCCACGGATGGCTCCCCTGCCAGTCTCTGGAAGTGGGGCCAGGGGATCCAAACCAGAGGTCCTTCTTGCCCCCTCCCTCACAAGGTCAGCAGCGCCCAGGGGTCAAGACATCCCAGCTGCTCGCCTGCTGTAGATCCAGACCAAGAGGCGGGGGGGGGGCACCAACCACGGGCAGCTGTGGGAGAACTTGCCAGCCATTCCGGGAGCGGGGGGGGGGACCTCAGATCTCTGCCACTCCTCTTCTCTCCGGCTGTTTTATACTGAGAGGACCGAGACATTTATCCCCCTTCTCTCCCTTCCTGGGAGGACCCTCTCGGCCAATCAGGGCGGCAGGGCAGGCTGGAATCCCCCCCTCCTTTCCCCCCACCCCACCCCAAAACTCACTTCTCCTTTTCTCGCCCAGCTGCTGCCGATGATGAGAGGGCTCCTGCTGCAGTTTCGCTTTTGCTCTGACTCCTGTGGCCAAATCCCTCCCCGGCCTAGGCTCGGCTGCCACTTGCTCAACCGCCCAGGGCTCTTCTTGGCTCAAATAGCAAGCGCACACCACCCTCGGGGCTTTTTCTACCAGGCAGCGCCTCCTCACACAGGCTGAGGTTTTGGCTCAGGGCAGGTGTCTAACTCACACCTAGAGGTGTTTTGGAGGGCACGGAGGGCAGGGTCGTCACCCTGGGGACAAAGGGTTCACTTTCTCGTCCCCAGGGAGGCACAAAACCCACTTTGGACCAATTCGGCTCCCTCCAGCTGGCCTACCTCACAGGGTTGTCATGAGACTAAGGCAGAAGGAGGAGGTCCATGGAAACCACTTTGATCTAACTGGCAAAAGGGTGGAATTTATGTGTGACAAATAGCAAGGTAAATGTGGAACCACTGAGGCTATAACCCGTGTCTACGAATTACCATGTGGGAATAAGCTCCAGTTAACTCAGTGGGATTTATTGCAATTTAGTCAGTCACACCTAGGGTTGTCAGTAAGGGTTAGAATGCTAGACGGGGATGGGGAAGACCTGGGTTCAAATACCTACTTGTCCATGAACCTCACGGCGTAACTGTAGGCTGGTCACTATCCCACAGCCTAACCTACCTCACATTTGTGAATTGTCAAGATGATAATAATGGGGAGGAAGGCCATATCGAACATCCTGAGCTGCTTGGATGGAATGCAGAATATAAACGTGACAAATAAATACATCAATATGGTAGGACTGCATTGTTAGCCACAAGGCTACACCAGATCACTGCTCCCCCCCCCATTTTACAAACTGCCCGCAGGCAGCACCTGGGCCTTGAACACATGCAAACAATGAAGCTGGAGTCCACTCCTCCTCCGTAACCCGCATCTACATAACCTCACCTCTAATCCCAAATGTTCATCATCTCGAAGTCTGAAGGAGGAGGACAGACCTTCTGTCCTCCTATAGCAAGACACTTATAGCAAGTCGGCGAGAGACGTTAGTCTTGGGCCATGCAGATCTGGATTCAGACTGCTACCCTCGTGGTTAAATTCAGTGGGTTGCCTCTGGACCAGCTGCAGACTCTTAGTCTGGCCTACCATGCAGGGTTATTGAGAGAATGAAATTGGGTAACCCTCTGCAAGATGCCTTGAAGTGAGAATACAAATACAATTCAAAAGGCTGGCTGTCTCTGCACAGAGCACATTTAATCCAGACAAAAACATTTTCAATGTAATCACAGTGGGAATGACAGTATTTCCCCTTGCATTAAACCAAACTGTTGTAGGGCTCTCTGGACTGGTACCCCAAATGTTCAGGAAATGTTGTTTTCCTGTATAGTGCTGGAACAGTGGCCGTTCTTCAGAAGCACAGGGGACCACCAGCACAAACCCAAGCAATACTTGGGGAGATCTTATTAAAGTCCCCCCCCCCGCCTCAAAACTAAATGGATGAAAGTCTTCTGTGCTTGGCCTGAGCCAATACAGCTAATTTGACTGATGGCAGAGTGAGACAGCCACTCAGGTAGCAGATTTGGAGTGTCACAAAAAGGGCAGCCTATTGTTGCTTATTTGAATTATTGCAGCTGTATTTTTACATCTGGCCAGTGCTGGGATGTCTCCCAACTAACCACCGTGCCAGGGTCAGGGCAGCAGCTGAGAATCCTCCTCCACTTGATCCATGGCAAAGCTGCATCTCTGGGCAAGAACAATCTTGCTGGCTAGCCCGCGTTGACATAGCGAGTAAGCCTCCCAGCAGTGTTTTTGCTCAGGGAGCAGCTCCCCTGGGTGTGTTTTTCCCACATGTCAAATGGGCAAGGGCTCTGCTGAGCTGACCTTGGTACTGTCAGTCGCTGACGAGCCTTGCAGCCTGGGCCAGTCAGCAGTCAGCTGGAAGGGAGACCCTTGTATAGTCAGTTCTTAAACTGCAGTAGGACTTGTGTCTGTAATGCCATTAATCCCACCCAGTTTTTCCCTAGTACGCTGTTTCTGCCATGCTGGCTGTTGAGGTTCTGAGCCCTGTCGTCCCTAAAAGGAATATTTCTAAAAACTTCAGAACATGGCCAAAGAGTCTGAAAAACCCACAATAACCAATATTTCTAAATTTTGGCTCCACTGTCCTCCAAGTCCTACAACAACATGAGGGACATCTGCCTGGACTCCACCCACTTCTTCAGTAAGGTCCTGCTGAAGGCTTCCTGCTCGGCTGCATCTCCTGTTCTGTATTTTCCCCCCCTTTGTACTAATGCTGAACGAGTTTTCAGACCCTATGTGCCTTTAGTGCTTCTCCCATGAAGTCTGTTTGCTGCTCTTTCCCATGGAAGGGGACTGTTCAATGAACTTGAAAGACGGTGTTTGTGGGTTACCAGCTTTTGCCAGGTGTGTGTGTGTGTGTGTGCGCGTGTGTGTGTGTGTGCGCGTGTGTGTGTGTGTGTGTGCGCACGCGCGTGTGTGTGCGCGTGCATTTCTTCTTTATTATTCTCTTTTTTCTTTTTCTATTTTTGTTTTTTGCATGTTTGAATTTAAATTTTAAAAAAAAGGTTGAGATGCTAAATGTTAATTGCAGTGTCACGGCGAGGGAGGAGGAAGGAAACAACACCTGAACTAGGACATGATCACACAAGAAAACAGATCGCAATTTGGACCACTCGTGAAGCGGTCAGGTACAACCTATTTCCCAGACATCATACAACACATGGGGAAATGTGCTCTAGCCAAACCCCAATCTGTGCCCAGGCTGGATCCTTTTGGTCCATCTGCAGGACGTCTACTTTTTGGGTCTGGGCTGGAGTGATTCCCTGGCAGACAGAAGGGTTGTGTTAAGAGAGATCACTCCTGTTCAAGCGATCATTTCCAGTGTAATGAAGTGCACACCTTTGCACCCAACTGATAATACCCTTAATTGGCACCACTGACTTTCAGACTTTGGTTTCCCTTCCAATGATCACCCTTGCCTTGCCGGTCTCAATGGGGCACCAGCTGCCACAGCATCTAAATATGCATTGTGCTGTAAGTGATTCACACTGTTTGTATGCCTTTTACTTGTGTGTACAGAGGCAGTGGGGCCAGGCTGGACTTAGGTTTAAGCCCTGTGCAGGAAGAGCTGGATTCTCCCCCAAACATGGTGCTCTCCAGTGCCTCAGAATTCTACCCAGAGTATTGAGGACCCCTCCTAAATGGTGATGGGGAGTTAAGGACACCCTAGATTGGGTGGAGGAAGCTACATCCTGAACCAGTGAGCATATGTGCTCTTTGTCCTTTGGGCTTCTCTACATATTTATTTGACTTTTTTTATTCCTTCCTTCCTAAGTAAGCCCTCAAAGAGACATATATCTATGAACCATCATCATCATATGATGTCAAGTGAATTCTGACCTGTGGCAACCCTCTTCATGGTTTTCCAGGTAGAGAATACTCAGAAATAATTTATAATTCCCCTCTTGTGGGGGCGCCCTGGGACTCTGCAGCTTGCCCAAGGCCATACAGGCCGGCTCTACTCAGAGGAGGCACAGTGGGGAATCGAACCCCCAACCTCTGCCTCCGCAGCCAGATACCTAAACCCCTGAGCGATCCAGGATGGATTATATAAATGAATACAAAATACATGTAGCATTTAGCTATCTAGCTCTGTAACACTTCTTAGAAGTATCCTTTGAAGAATCTATACAGGATATAACACAACTGCTTAGAAAAGCTTCCTTTTGGAGTACGTTCCTCAGAGTCCTCCAGCTAGCCTAGTGATCACACTGATTGGGGTGTGCTGGGAATTGTCATCCAGCCAGTAACTTTTCCAGTGCAGCCACTGACTTGGCGCACAAGAATTACTTCCACATCCAAAGCCAAGTCGGAGTCGGACTTGAAACACATCTCTCCTTACAGTGCTTTGCAGAGCGTGATTGCTGCTGCCCTTACCAAGATTTATGTTTTTTTAAATGTAGTTTCTTATCCCTTTACTACTTGTGGGATGTGATAGGACCCTTCTTTCCAACAACAGGCTCCTTAATCCCCTATCCTTTTGTGTCCGATACCCCAGCTGCAGAGAATCCCAGCGGGCAGAGTAATAAAACACATCTCCCCCCTCCCTATAGGTGCACACACTGCCTTGCCGACTACAATATAATCCACCCCAAATAAATTATCTGGGAGGAGGGAAGCTGTCTTTAATTGCAGCTCCTGGCTTCAGGTATAATGGCTCAGCCACAAAAGTGTGTGTGTGCAAGAAAGAGCAGGCGGAGAGGAGAGGCGCCGAAGCAGCTTCAGCATCCCGATGGTCCCAGATGGTTTCAGACTGGAGAACAGAAGGGCTGTGCAGGCGCCCCGCCCTGTTAAGGCAAAGAGCGGGAAACCCTAGACCCTCACCAAGCAGCTTAGAGAGGTCAGGTTTCTGCTGTGGCTCTGATCCAGCCTCCAGGTGTGCGGGCTAGCTTTCCACAGTATTATGAGATTGTTTAAGCCTTGCAGAAGGACAGCGAGCCATCAGGAGACCTGTGCTATAAGCATCCATGGCACCATGATCTTTTGACGGGTCCTCCCTACTCTGTGCATGCCCCAGATGGGGATTCCTCTGACAAACCACCCACTTATTCTTGTCAGAATGTCCTTTGGATCAAAGAAAAAAGCAAAGTATTACTGGATAATAAAATGAGATCTGAGGATAATCCATTAAGTGACTGTATGCTTCAGCTGCTGTTAGAGTTATAACAACTTGTACATGTGTGCGCATGTGCGCATGTTCTTCGCCCAAGGCAATCCAAATGTTCTTTTTGCCCTGTTAAATTTTGTTGAAGGCTCTTTTGCGGTCATCACGTGTCATTGATTCATTTTATTTTATTTTATTCCTGCCTTTCTTCCAGTTTAAAGGTTCTCCTACAAAAGATTTATAAAACAGGCACATCTAGAGAATCCGAAATAAATCACACTATTAAAAAGTAATCATATGTAGTCTTATTAAAGCCAGTGAATTTTAAACAAAATACATCTAAAAGCCTGTTTATGTTGATTCCTAGCATATCTGGATTCCAAATAGGTGACCCCAACCA